TGGTCTAGTAACCAGGAGGTCTAAGGTTCAAATCCAAGTCCACGCGCTAGTCCCCAATGGTAAGCATTAATCCTCTTTACTTGACAAGTCCGTCTGAGATCCCCTGTCGATCCCCTGGTTGTGTACGTGCAAGAACACATATGCTTTCTTAGCTGTCAGATTAAAAGTATACCGTTTCAAGAAGAGCCCAAAACTGAAACTTGAGCATCTCCTTTACATTAACAGAGTATACATGCTCACAACAAATATCTTTAATGAGCTCTAGCTTAAAATCTTACCATGTGTTATTTTCAGGGTCATGTGGTGCCTGGTCAAATGTCTTTTCTTTTCGAAAACCTAATCGTAGCCTAATCTTTCTATAGCGGGGAACATAGCAAGAGGGCGCTCGACAACGATCCCTTGTTAGTGCCCTTGACTGTAGGACAGTTTAGCCGACCCGGATTGAGTTGGGCCGAATACGATGAATACTGTTTTGTTGGGCTAGCACAAAATACAAGAATATACGCCATGTCGTGACTTACTAAAACCAAATTGGCCAAACTCTGTGTATGGATGTTTTTCATCCTTTCAAAATATCTTTAAACATGGATTAGTCTCCCTTTGTGTGCATTTTTCGAACAATCGGTTTCTTCACTCCCCCCCCCCCCCCCGCCCAATATATGTATTGTTCTATATCTACTCCTGACCTCAATGAATAATGATTACATAACTTTCATGACCACATATCAGTTGTCATCTCTACACGTTTGGTACTAAAAACATTTTCTACCCATGCGCAGATAGTATCTACAGATTGCAAATGCAAATTCCCCCATCACACTGGATACACTGTAAATATTATGTCATTCCTCCAATATGGGCAAGGGGAGGGGGGGGGGGATCCATTCCTCATTTGTATGAGAAAAATAAGCCAATCTGAATGGCAAAAGTTTGAAATAAATCTAACCCATAATGAAAGATTTATGAAATTTGTAATATGATATATGCGTTTCTCAAGTCGGCATTTTTGCCAGTGGATTGTGACGTAGCTAAGGACAACAGCTGTCCCGTTTGTCGTGTACACAATGTTTATCTCTTCTATTTTTCTTCCATATGTCCTCTCCCTTGGGCCACTACTAAAAATGCATCGTAGCCTATTATTACAAGTTCTCTGAAAATAAAAGATTCCTCGGAGTCATCCATTTAAAAAAAAAATCGTATTTTTTTGTTGTTGGTACAAATGAGAAAATGTATCACCACTTCATCACAGTGAAATTACCGGTGTGGCCAATTTGAATTTCTCTGAAGTGTAATGATTACAACTCTCAAAATGTTATAGCTGTGATACCTTAAGAAGAAATGCACTAGTTACAAGTGTGTATGTAAGTTTTCCGTCATTTGATTTGATTTATTGATTTATATATCATATTTAAACATACATAATGTCCATCAGTGTGATATAATTTACGTTTCAAAGTACAATGCATGACACTCATACTGTATAGAACATAGACAATTCATAGGAGAACATTACCGGTACTCATTTTTACAATTTACATGATATAGGAGGGATACAGCGTATTAAGCATGAAGCTTGAAATGCTTGCAGCCCTCGATTAAACTAAACTATTATTATTTGAACTAAACTAAGCTAATCCAAAATAAACTAACAGCCTTATTGTACATATGAAACATAAATGAAGAGAGAGAATGACTTGCAATAGAGAGAGAAAAGATAGAGAGATAGAATTAAGACTGTAGAATACCAAAATACCAGACACCCGTTGACATTAGAAGTCATGTTTATGACGCCAGGTCATGGACAATAGTTGTTGAATGAATAACATAAAATGAAGATACAAGCACACATCATTGGTAATGGGTTAGGAGCACATAGTCTTTACAGCTAATTTGAAAGAGTATGTCGACTTCAGATTTCGAATTTCAGCAGGGAGTGAATTCCAAGTGGACCAGCATGTCGAATGGATTAGAAACTGTTTTTGTATATGGAATTTGTGAGCTTGTCCTGTGGGATACGAGTGTACATGTTTATTCATATCAAATAATGGGGGGGGGGGGTAGAAGGGAAGTTGCTCGTTTTGTAAGCGGAACATAACAAGTGCGGTTTGCAGGATATAAATATTATCAACTTTTTTCAGTTTAAAAAAATAGTATAGTATTAATGGCAATAGCTCGATTGTAACCTTCCCGAGAGCGTATAAAAACAACTATGTTTCGAAAATTAAAATGTATATACCGAAAAGGGTCGTATAATACATGTGCGACTTTTTCAATCATGGTAATCAAATTTGGGTACGCTATCGAGACAGCAGACAGTGTAAGGGCACAAGGTACATACAAATACGTGTGTGGGACTATGAACGGGCTGGATTTTTTGTGTTACTGAAATGTGCTCAGAAGTCAAGTAATTCATATATTAAATGACTATAACAGACAAGAAACAAGTCAAAGGTAAGGACAAGAATCAGTGCTTATCAATATAACATACATTTTGCATGAAATACCATCAGGAAAGCTATCTATTTTTTGTCAGAAATTAGCGACAAACACACCAAATTCAGCGCTGCAATGACGCACAAAACGGCGTAGAATTCAACTTTTCATCCACCAAATGAATTCAAACACCTGCATTACACAATCTTCAAAACCTTTATCACCGTTATCGCATGCAATAAATTCACAATCTATATCTAGACCTAGATCTACGGCTAATAATAAAACGTAGGGCCTACCCTTTTGGTGTTCTTCCTGTCTAGCGACCAATACACCAGTTTACGGTTGTGTGCGCCATTTTAATTGACGAGTAAACAAATCCAATGACCTCTAGAGGTCAGTGGTTTGTGCGTAATTAAGATTGCGACCATGTAAATTATGATAACATCACTGCCTGCGCGCTGCGCTGTGCGCTCACATCATAATTTGCATGGGCGCAATCTTAATTTACGCACAAACCAAATGACCTCTAGGTCATTGGCTTTGTTTACTCGCCAATTAAAATGGCGACCATGTCTGCGTATGCGCACTGATGTAACCGTAAAAATTGTGTATTCTTCGCAAACACACAATGTATGGTATCCGCGATCGCTCAAACCAGTTTTTAAGCAAGACTGAACTATTCCCGGTAACTTGGATTTTACCCTCGAACTATTACATGGGCGTGGCATTTTTCGTTTATTTACGGGAATGGTTAAAACCATGACTGTAATTTCGACCAATCAGATGGCTGGATTTCTTAAGTGAGGTACCTAACGGATTTTCAATTTCACGATAAGAAGAATTGGTACAAAGACGTACTGCTTTCTTTCACAATAATAAAATACTATCGACATTACTCTTTGAACTTGCCCAGAGCATAATACAATACGAGATAAATGGCAAAATAAGAGAATTATATAGCATAAATACAATGCTCGGTCGGACATAACTTAATTTACATAGTATACCAATTTTGTCGCAGAGTTGTAATAAAACCAATTTTTACTATTTGCATTCTATCTTTATGCCATTGCTATTTTGTTTTCTATTTCCTTTTTTTTAAGAACACATACACATTTGTATTTATAACAATTTTTCCTTAAACCACCACTATTAAAGAACTATTTGTTTCCAGTCTTACCTTTTTTTCTTCCGCTCTTTGTATTGTTGTTACGCCGCAAACAAATTAACTTCATATAATATTCAAATCATTAAATGAGTAAGATGTGTACTGTATTTGTGTGAATAACAAGTGAAGCATTCTACTTCATCTATAGGGCAATGCCCATACATGATACAGGTGCCATCATAAATTAATGATAGAAACAACTCGTATACACTCCTAATAATATCAACCACATATTTCGTGTAAAATGCATATCAATAAAGAATGAAATAATGAAAAGTAATAAGGTTACTTGAGTTTCGTATGCAGCTGTAAAGATTCACACAATTATCACTTACAAAAGCAATTACTATTACACGCAATTATTTAATCTTCGAATATATATGCATCTTTTGTATGAGCTTCGTTTATTCTTTCGTCACAAAAACCTATTAACAATACAAAAAATAGTAGTAACGATCCAAGGTGTAGATGTCGAAATAATAAATATACAATGTTTGTATGTATATACATTTATACATATAAATAACATGTCGCTCATAAAGTTTGAATATTTTTGTTTTACCCCAATTTATGGAATTGTTTTTAAAATAATTTAAAAATTATAGATCTAGATAATAGTAAACAATTTCTTGGATGTTATTGAATATTAATTTGACAATGTGTGTTTTGCGTGACTGCTAAAGCATGTGTATGCTACTATGCTTATCAACTAGGGGACCTACGCCCTTAAGTCATAAATGACAGTAATGAGGATTAATGCCCCACAAAAGGGCACTAATATAGAACATCTACACGGTTTGGATCCTTTGGGCCTCTCAGTTACGAGGCCATTGCTTTGTCAGTGAAACATGACTGTACGCAGCGTGGGCTAGGGTAGGGGGTAGTTTCCATAAATAAAAGAAAAAGAAAATGCAATACATTTTCAATAATTGTTTGCATTTTACCCCGCTCCCCAACATACACAAATCCTCTGGACGGCCATGCATTATGGCTCAAGGCATGGAAACACAGAGGATTTTTTTTTAATGTTGGGAACCGGGGTAAAATGCAAATATTATGGAAAATTTATTGCATTTTCTGTTTTTTTTATATTTATTGAAACTGCCCCCTACCCTAGCCCCCGCTGCGTACAGTCATGGTTCACTGACAAAGCAATGGCCTCGTAACTGTGAGGCCCAAAGGATCCAAACCGTGTCGATGTTCTATATTAGTGCCCTTTTGTGGGGCATTAATCCTCATTACTGTCATTTATGACATAAGGGCGGAGGTCCCCTAGTTGATGAGCATAGTAGCATACACATGCTTTAGCAGTCACGCAAAACACACATTATCGAATTATTATTCAATAAAATCTGAGAATGTTACTATTATCTTGATCTATTATTTTTAAATTATTTTTAAAATAATTTCATGAATTGGGATAAAACAAAATTATTCCAACTTTATGAGCGACAGTGTATGTACATTTTTACAACAAGTACATTTAGCTGCATGCATTCCATGTGACCCATTGGGTATAATGTCTCAAATCTTAAAGGTGACGATTATTGTGAAGTTCGCAAGGTATAACGTACGGCATGGCATATATTCGTCAAGGAAAGAACTGAAAGGCATGAAAGTGTTCATCTACGAAGATCTGACCCGTGAGTGAAGCCATCTCGTCAATCAAACCATAAACAATGACCAAGTGAAATCAGTGGAGAGTAATCTTGGACGAATCCCTCTCTTGACAAAGGATAAAAGAAAGAAACAAATCAGAAGAATTAATGATCTCGAACGCATATAGAAGACCTGAAACTGATTAATAGAAATACATTTTGAAAATGGGTCTGACGTACCCTTGCATATCTTGCAAGTCCAACCAGACTCTATTTTGTGTGTATCTTGTAAAAAATGGATACATTTGAAGTGTTCATCTTTCCCCTTTTTTTTCTTTAATTCTGATTGCGACTGGATATTTACATGCCGTTTGTTTAGTAAGCTACCGTTTAATGACTTTTTGATAAAAGCTCATGTTCGGAGAAAGATGTCAATGATTCTTAAACAAGTAAAAATACATCAATTGTCGATAATATAAATTATAAAGCATATTTTAGTTAACAAAAAAAAAAAACGCTCATGGATGTGTACAGCACATTTGAATATATGTTCGCTGTTGAAGAATATTGATGAAATACGACTTATTTTAATTGAGTCTAAAATCGATGTTATTACTTCATGTGAAACCCGTCTGGATGAGTCCGTGTCAGACGAGGACATTTCAGTAGAAGGATATAGATTAGTGAAAATAGATAGAAACAGAACGATGGGGGAGTGATTATCTATATCCGTGATTTGATCGATTATGATATTTTATCAGAATGTCATGAGCAGGACTTGGAACTCTCCTGCATTGAATTAAAATTAAATAAACAAAAATCTCTTATGTTATCGTGCTGGTACAGACCACCCGATTCCAATATCGGAGTCTTTTATCAGTTGGAAACTATTTTACAAATTGTGAAGCCAAATTGTGTGACTATGTACTAATTGGTGACTTAAATTGTGATTTTGTTTACAAAGAAACCTATCAAATAATCAAAAAAAAATGCAGAGACTTGAAGACGCCTATTGTTTAACACAATGTGTAACCTCAGCTACGAGGGTAACAAGTTCGTCTGAGACACTTTAGACCATGTTTTTTCATCAAATGCTGAAAATGTGAAAGAATGTCCTGTCGTATCTGTCGTTTTGAGTGATCACGATATGGTTATATTTTCATGGGGAAAGAGTAAACCAACACCAAGTGGAAACCATTGCTATATTTCTTCTCGTAATATAAAGAAAATTGACCCCGAATCCTTTGCTCATGACTTACGTAGCATATCTTTGAACGATGTACTATATAAACATTCAACTGAGGAAGCATACGAAATAGGGATTAAAAAGTTCAGAGTTATATTGGATATGCATGCTCCTGTTAAAAGGAAGCGGGTTCGTCACAAGAAGTCACCTTCGATGGCAAGTGAAATACTGACATTAATTCGAGATAGACATAAAGTCAAACAGAAGGCAAAACGGTCTAAATCAGACGCTGATTGGTCAAGTTATAAGAAATTACGTAATAAAGTTACTTCTTTTGTGAGAAAGGCTAAGCGAAAAACCATTATGGACAGTATTATTGAAAATGTCGGAAATTCCGCAATGATGTGGAAAGTTCTGAGAGAATTGATACCAAGTAGTAAAAAAGTAACTTCAATACAAAAAAATAATCTTTGTGGGGTGGAATACATTGGAAACAGCTCCATTGCTAATATAATGAATGTGTATTTTTCCTCACTGGCAACAAACCGTTAAAACAAACGTAAAATTCAAAGATAATCCAAGACAATTTGTTTCTAAAGGAAACACTTCTTTTAATTGTGTTCCAGTTACCAGTGAAGATGTTAAAAAACGTATTAAAGAAACTCCTCGTAATAAGGCTACTGGTCTTGATACTTTACCTTCGAGTATTTTGAAAGATTCGTCGCTTATTATTGTTGAATCTCTGGCTCATATAATTAATTTATCTTTACATGAAGGCGTTGTGCCAAATGAATTGAAGTGCGCCAGAATAACACCTCTTTTTAAAGGAGGCGATTGCGCTAACCCGTCGAATTATAGACCTTTATCTGTGTTGTCAGTACTTTCTAAAATTTTAGAAAAGCTTGTTTTTCGGCAAACTTTTAAATATTTGAATGATAACGACATATTGGTACAAAATCAATTTGGTTTTCGACCACGCTGTTCAACCGAGTTAGCTTTATTGAATCTAACAGAAAATGTGAGTAAAGCGATAGATACAGGTCATGTCATTGGATTGGTAACGTTGGATCTCGAAAAAGCATTCGTTATGGTGTCACATGATATTCTTTTACAAAAGTTGAAGATTTATTGTTTCATTAATGAATCTTTACGTTGGTTTCGAGATTATTTTACTTTGAGAAAACATATTACTATCATTAATGGTAACGGGTCAGAAGCAAGCAAAGTATTTTGTGGCGTCCCACAGGGAAGTATATTGGGGCCACTGTTATTCATATTATACGTGAATGATTTACCACTTGCTGTAAAGCGTTGCACTGTATCGATGTTTGCTGATGACACATGTTTATACTATGCTTCTAGAGATCCAAATAGTCTTCATTGTATAATGAATGAAGATTTAATTGTTATTCATGATTGGTTACTGCATAATAAACTTATGCTAAATGCAATGAAATGTAAGTTCATGGTCATAGGAACAAAATGGAAACGTAAAGTTTTTGAGAACATTAATGTAGTATGTCCCGTAGAGAGAGAGTCGATCAATGTAAATATCTCGGTGTTATACTTGATACAGATTTTTCATGGACACCACAAATTGAAAGGGCGAAATCAACAATACTACGGAACTTTTTTGTCTTACGAAGAGCTAGACCATTTATCGATCAACGGACTGCTCTACTTTTATATAATACGATGATTCGACCTCGTTTTGATTATTGTAGTACGATTTAGATGAAACCCGATTCAGGGCACCTAAAGAAGCTTCATATATTACAAAACAGGGCATTAAGAATAACACTTTAGGTGGATTCTCGTTCCAACAGGCATGAACTTTACAATAGATTAAAACGTGATTGTCTCAATGTTAAAAATAAGAAGGACCTGGTTATGTTTATGTACAGAATACTTAACAATGAAGTACCAGATATTCTCTCTACTAAAGTCATTTTGAAGAAAGTAATTATAACCTTAGAAACAGGGAATGTACTATTAACATACATAAACCGAACACAAATTTTCTAAGAAGCAGTACTCTTTATATCGCATCTCGGCTATTCAATCACCTAGCCCAGTGCACCAGAATACAAATGTAGAAACTCGGCTTTCAAACTTTATAAAGGCGATCGATGGTATTTCCCCCCTATGTTCTAATTGTTGTTGTCTATCTTTGTCTCTATCTCTCTCCCCCTATCTCTCCCCCTCTCTATCTCTTTCTCTCTCTCCCTCGCACTCTTACTCTTTCACTCAATCTACCTCTGATGATTAGTCTTATGATAATGAGCTTGTGATTTGACTAAATTATGTTTCTTTCCATCATAATTTCTGATATTTGTAATACTAAGTGTGATTGTTATTAAGAGATATTTACACATTAATTTTAATTTGTATTATGAAATATTTTTGTTTTGTTTATGTATATTGTATTGTATGTATTTTAACGGACTTGCTGAAAAACAGCCTTGTGGCTGATAGCAGGTGTTTTAACCGGGGTGAAATAAATAATTAAAAAAATAAAAAATAAAAAAAAAACGTGAAGTACTGACGTAAATTGCATAACTTTAACATAAATGCTCCTAGAATATAATGGAAAATACCTACTGTAATACAAAGCTATTAACAAAAAGATCGTTGTATTATGATATTATCCTAATCGAATAAAACCGAGTAAAATGAGGCAAATGAACAAACATAAATATTGCACTAAAAGGACCAAAATACTTCACTAACATAAATAATTTTTCCGGGCCATTGACTTCTCTCTCGCGCATTCACCATTGCTACTCTCATTCCACTTTCTTAATTCTTGATATATTCTATTCTGCAATAAAAGAAGTTTAATTTGATATGATAAAGTATAATTTGGAATATAACAAAATAGGTCAGAATGATTCACAGGAGAGAATGTCGTTTCAATAAAAGTGGAAAAAGAAGTTTGGTAGTAAGAATTGAAGTGCTCAAAATAGGACATATACAGCAAATTATTAAATAGACTGGGTACACTTGGATATTCTCTACCAGTGGCGTAGCTTTGCCACAGTCATGGGGGGAGGGGGTCACCATTATTTATGTAGTTTATTGGATCAACTTTTTACAACATTTTGTTTTGGTTGTCAGCGCACCTTTTTTTTAATATGAGTTAACAACCCAATCAAAAAATAGTAATTTTGTTCTATCCCTCGTACCAGGGCTCAAATTAATTTTTTGTCCACGGGGGCTCTTCCAAAAAAAAAAATCCCCCGTGAGCCTTCTCACGGGGGCTTGCGCGACCGTCTCCAGCTCCAAGCAGATATTGGGCGTCAGCGCGCACACCGGTAGGCCTACTACCGGCGCAGTATAATAGCCACTGTTGACGGCTGCATTAGCTGCACTGCGAGCTTCCGTTGTTTGTATCGGTAATACTCAAAGAAATGGGAGAGAAAGCGCCATCTAAGTTCCGTTTCATTGGTTTAAGGTTTGAAAATTGATACTCATTATTGTGTTAAAGTTATATCAGAAAAGATAATCTTTATTTTATAATCCACGGGGGCGATTTTTAATTTTGCAATCGCCCCCGAGTGGAACCTAACGGGGGCGATTATGGAGCTCACGGGGGCGAATCGCCCACCGCTCCCGTGTATTTTGAGCGCTGCCTCGTACAGATATGCGTATGGGCACGTTTTTACGTAAAAACCAGGAGGGCCCGAAATATACTACATGTGTCATTTCTTGTTCTTTTTGCTTATCCTTCATCTCTTCCCCAATCGAATGGGGAGGGGGGGGGGGGGGGTTGGGTACTCAGCGTTGAGGGCGTGTAACATTACATATGTTTAAATATCCACAATAGCTATAAGCATGCATTTTATGCAGTATTTCGCCTTCAAAATCTTCCAATATACAAATATCATGATTGTACAGAGATTAGGGAAAATGTGCTACTGCATATTTAAGTTATTTTTCAA